GTCTTTTGAGTTCAAGCATACCTGCATCAATATTTATCAGAATGATACTTTCAGTCACAGTCATGAATAAATATACATAGCATTTGGCGAGTAAAAGGGGAAGATCATCTTGAGATGTTTCGAAAAGCCATTGTAAAATAAATATGCTGGAAATTTAGTGGAGTTATCATGGAGGGCTGTTTTACAATTTTTGAAAGATAATTTTGAAGTCCTCTTTGTGGCTTTGTAAGATCCTCTTTGGAAATGGAACGCTGAGAGAATTCCCTCAGTAGGTGGAGCTGTTCTGCAGGAAGACATCAGTAGTGTGTATATTCTGTCTGAGTGATGAGGAGTCAACTGAAATGTACAACAGCTTCCTCCCAGCAACATCTGGATTTTACAGGGACAGATTAGTTCAGGTTCACATGGTGCAACTTTTTACAGCTGCTGAGCAAATCATATTTTTAACTATAGCTTAAGGCAAACTGTCCCTCACTATGCCAATGTGTATTCTCAGTAATTTGTGACTGCATTGTATGGATCACTAATAATGGAAGGTTTGTTCTCATGATCTTTTCCCATTCTCAAAGGTGCCCTTGCCAATTTACAGATCCATTTACTGGTCGAAGAAGACTCTCAGCTTCGATAACTTTTAATCCGGAAGAGACAAGACCAAGGTTTCTTTCCAGCAAAACCATCCATCCATTTTGTAACCACTTTATCCAATAGAGGTCAATAGTGGATGCTGCCCAAGTCCTCAGGTACTTCTTCACAGTCATTGCTACTGAAATGAGAACTCGTCATAGGGGAGAAATGACTTCCAAATGATTTCCCCCACTACTGTCATTGGAGCAAACACATTGTATTCTTTAAAAATTAAGGAACCTACTTCGACACAATATTTGCTGTTTGGTTGATTTATTGTTTGCTGTACATCGGGTATCAGTGTGAGTGCAAACATCATGTCTGTGTAACTGATAATTTCACAATTTCTCAACCATATCTGCAATTGTTCCATGTTAACTACCTTTTCTTTTCCTTAAGAATATAGATATTGCTATTGATTTCACAGCCAATGCCATTTTGAGATTTTAGAGTCTCTTGCAATCTCTAACATTTCAGCTGCCTATGTGAGTATTTTAAAATTCAGTAATTTTGCTCAGTAGGGCCGTGAAAGGAGTTTTGTTGTCTTGTTCTTGCCATCTTACATCTGTTTTTTGGGGAAGATCATTTCTTAACTGTTATATTAATTTGGTCACCATTTATTGTATTTTTATAGCACTTGTTGTATTAGGGACTAGGGTGTGCATCGTCTTTCCTTGAGTGCCACAATGTTCTTTGTCTTTCATTTCAGCCAAGCTCTGAAGGATTCAATTGGACCAGCTTCCCAATTAAGAAGAGTTACCTATGGAGTTAGGAGGAGTTAGAGTACCAGCTTTCCAGATCTATGCTCATTGACAGTTTAAGGTTTGCTACAAAACCCGCAGAACTGTGGCTCTCCAGAGCCAGGATTGCAGACCCCTGTGTTAGGGCACCATATTATTATATTATATTTTGTGTAATAAACCTGTTTAATGAGCACATATACAGGTGAAGTAACAATTTTTATACAGTGACTCTGTTAACGATCGTGTTTAATGATGAAACAATACAGCTATTCTACAATAATTTTAAAAAATCAGAATGCTTCACCCATTTCTCTTTATGGAGATAGAGCTCTTTATTTTTTGCTTTATTTTTCCTTCAAAGTAGTTACTGTATACTTGTTTTCATTATACTTACTAATGCAAGAAGACATCATCACAACAAAAGGAAACATTTTTGTTTTGTTTTTGTGTAACATCCTATTTTCAATAACAATCAGGGCTCTGTTTAATGTAGCGTCTGTGACAGGGGTTTGGTGTTTACCTGATAAGGGAACATAACCGTGCTCTGGAATACTGGTTGCTATGGGATCCCAATTACTTTAAGGAGTGAGTCATTTATTCATTATTTGTAAGGAGCTAGCTTGCAAGCAGCAAGAATTTGTATTTCAGATAAATCATTAGTTTTGTGTACATTTCCTCATTTTGATTATTTTGTCATCCACAAACTGTCAACCTGTAGATGTCTAGTGTTTTTTGTTGCTACTGTTTTTTTAATACAGATTGGAAAACACTGTACTTTCCATGCAAGCCTTCAGAGTCTGAGTAAGGTGCACTTGTCCCTTATGATTAGGTTCACCAAAGCATGGCTATCACATTCATTAATAAAGTCAGCCTCATTTTGTCAGCCTGGTTGTATACATGTGTAAATAAGATCTAAAGTATAGAGAAATGTATATTTTATATTTCATATATGCTATATGCTGTATTCCTTAAATGTTATATAACAAAAATAGGACACAGATTAATATGAAAATCTATATTTATATAGTTGTCAAACTACAATACACATATGAAAATTATTAAATAAATGTATTGTTCACCGAAAGCAGATATTGCCCTAGTCAATTCACCTGATACATTTCCCCCCATTACTGTGATTGGAGCACACACAGCGTTTAAAATGATTTGGTTAGACTATTGCATAACAGCTTCCTTTATCTGACGTGCATCCTGACGTGCTCCAGAAAGTAACTAATTACATCAGATGCCAATGATGTATAACAGATGAGTAACAACAGGGCACAGATCTGATACAGTGACATTTGCAGATGGTGTCGGCTCATGATGACTCACAGGTGACCATAGGTAAAAGGCCAGTAAAATCACTATCGACAGAGGAGCACTGTCAGAAAGGCTCTTCTGCTAAGCAGCACCTGTTTGAGAGGACATGTGGAGTACTTCCTCCTGACGCTTGGTCTGTCTTTTTCCACCTTCCTTTTGTAGGTCTGTCTGAAGGAAGGTCAATGCAGATAAGTGGCTTAATCCTCTGGGGCTGTTTAAACCCAGATAAGCTTTTAATTCCTCAAAGTTTTGACTGTATCGGTTAAATTAAGGGGATTCTGTACAACTGCAAGGTTTTGCCAACATTTCCAGACTGGTATTGGGAAAAGCTATTTTCATTGTTTATAGGTCGTGTAATTCTTCGCAAGTGACAGACCGAAACACTAGTATAATACTACAAAAAAACTGACCATAAAGAACAGTGGCGTTTCCTGTCATGTTTGTCAATGAAACAGGTCTGGAGAGTATTCTTTCACAAGAGAGCACTGATGTGTTGCCATCATTTAGAGTGTGCAGTTTTTACATGCTGTCGTTTCCTGAAGAATGGGACCAATGTAGAGCCACACTTTGTCCATTGCTGTGTGCCTGAATGTCCACATTCACACGCTTCTCGTTTACAGCATCTCGGGCTTCAGCAGATCACATGGAGAGTACAGATTATATCCACATATCCACACACTTCAAGGATTTGTTACAGATAATCAGGGTGTTTTTTTTTAAACTGGAGACTAGGATAGGATCTAATATAAGACACTGAGTAATGCCAGTCACACTAAGATGACAGATACTTGCCATTCTCGTCAATTCACATAGAACTGATTTATTTTCCCTGCTCTTCTGGTTTCAGAAATACAGTGTTGTTGAGTGTTGAGATAATGTGACGGTACTAAATTTTAGCTTTGCAAATAGTGAATGATCCTTTAATCCATAATTCGATTTGCCTTCTTTCTGTGGTTTAAATTAAGAATCTTGATTGAACATTTAGGGTCTCCTATAGGGTTGTCTTACCTTATATTACTTAAAGATAGGGTTCCAGCCCCTGCACCTGTAGAAATGAGACTGTACAGTGTATGTACATCTGCTTTTTTACTTCAACCAATTATTGTCTGAAAGTGCTAAGATTAGTATGAATTTAAGCTGCGGGTGGACAATACCGTATGTACAAGGTCAAAGACAGTTGTTATTATTAAGACTTAATAATTGTTTATGTTATTTTGACATGGCAATTAGTGTTGCTACTGTATAGATCTTTGATCCATGGTTTGATTCTGGTTTGAGGTGCTTTCTGTGTGGAGTCTGCATGTTCCCGTGTCTTCATGTTTTCTCTGGGAGCTCCAGACAAAGACTTGCTGGCCAGGTTAACTGCAGTCTCTAAATGGTCACTGTGTGCGTGTGTGCAAATTGTGATGGACTGGTGACCTATCATGAGTGAAGTCCTGCCCTGCCATGCATCCTATACATACTATGTTGCCGCAATCCTTTCCATGAATAACCCATATACACCCATATTTCCTCATGCAGATCTAAGGAAGCTATCCTTTGTTTCTGCTTCTTGTAATTTGCACCTTAACTGCTTTGCTTTCAGGCCGACAAAAAGAATAGCAATTTATCTTTACAGTGGAGCCCAGGGAAACAGCAATCCTGTTTTGCATTTTCTGTCAGTAAATACTGCGTAGTAGATGCTGCTTGGTATTCATCTGGCTAATTACTACATCTTAATTGCTGGTATTAAGCTTGTTCAGGACACTAAGATCTAAAAATGCACTCTAAATGAACACATTACTGCTTGTGCTGCTTGACAAGTCACTTTAATGTGCCAAAACTGTTTTCACTTGCCGTGTATAAGACTTGTATAATATAGTGATTATATTTATACCACATGAAAAAGGCACCCAGCCATGAATTATCAGGGCAAAACAGACAGGTCAGTAACAAAGTCGTTTTCAGTTTCTGTTCCTGCCTGGGTTTCTTTTTCTTTGCGTGATAGTTTCTCGGTATTTCTGGAAACTGGTCTTTCTAGTTTTTTAAAAACATTGAACCATTATCATAGGTGTCAAGCGCATGTAGGATAACTTCAGATTTTTTACCAGTATGTGATACTGTGGCTGTGGGTGGTAGGAGAGATAGATAATGTCTATCTGTGTATTTGCATGAGGCTATGCAAATCCCACCCACCAATATATTAGCATATTAAAGAAAGGTGTAAAATAACTGACCTTTTTGGCAGCATAATTTTTAATTAAAAAAAAAACATTCTTCACTGAATGCTTTTCTAATGCACAGTTCTTCAGAAATCACGCACAGGCAACACTATTCTTGAAACAGCTACTCCTTAACTCACGGTTTGAATTTGCCGGCGCATCTCTTTAACTGGGACGAATCAGCCGTATCATAAACACAGCTGCTTCATTATTTATTGAAAAGAAGATGGCGGAGTTTTCCCCAGTACTGCCGCTGCGGGATGGAGATGATCGGTTCGGGCAACCCGTCTTTTCCCGCTCGCGTTCCGGTTCGGAATCCGAAACCGAGCTGTCGCAGAGCCTGGCCCGGACCAAGACCCGTTCCTACGGTAGCACTGCCAGCGTTGCAGCCCCTCTGGCGGAGAAATACATTGTGCACCGAGTCACGGCCAGCGATACCCTGCAAGGGATAGCGCTCAGATACGGAGTAACGGTAAGAATCTTCAAACAAAATGTTTGAAAGATCAGGCTGTTGTTTACAGAGAAATCTGCTGGGCAGATATCATAATGTTTTCTTTGGCACAGCGAGCCTTAGGGTAAGCACGCCGGTTTACCCAGCACAGCGACATTCACTGTTTACAGAAGAACTGTCGCCCGGTTTCTCAAAAGATTCACAGCCGGGTTGTTATGAATATGATTAAACACTGGCGCTTAATAAAATATATAGTAGCATGTTCAAAACGTAGCTATATTGTTCGTACAGAGCATGACATCATCTACAGAAGGAACTGCTTCCATATGGGCATGCTTGTGTACCAGGAAGTAGTTCTGTACTCATTCTAGCTGCACCAGTCTATTAGCAACATAAATACACATTGTGATGCAAAGAATCGTTTACAGGTATCACCCCGTTCCTAGGCGGAAATATATATATATATATTCATGTGTATTATGTGGAAAATTTGTTACCCACTCCAATTTCAAATAGATAAAATCAGCTAATACAGGAAATGAACAGATTTAACATTACATTAACATTACCTACCTCTGTAGTGTGCAGTGTATTGCATTCAGGTGCAATATGAAATAAGATTGTATTTGTACTGTACTAAGAAATAACTACAGGCAACTATATTAACTATAGCTGAGATGCATTTCAATGTTTTGCTTTACTTGTTGAGATCTGGGGTAGCAGGTTGGTGCAGTGCTTAGCGTTGCTGCCTCACAGGGCTTGTGTCCTGGGTTCAATGGCTGGGGTGCTGTCCGTGTGGAGTCTGTACATTCTCCCCGTGTTTGCGTGGGTTTCCTCCAGGTGCTCTGATTTCCTCCTGCAGTCCAAAGACATGCTGGGAGGATAATTGGCTTCTGGGAAAATTGCCCTTGATGTGTGTGTGTGTGTGCCCTGTGATGGGATGGCGTCCTGTCCAGGGCGTACCCTGCCTCGTAATCATTGCCAGATAGGTTCTGCCTCCCCCATGGCCCCGAATTGGAAAAAAGTTACTAGAAATTGCGTGGATGCCTATTGTGTCGGTTCATCTGATATAAAACAGGTCTTGTAATTTCTTTATGATAACTTTGTGAATCTGTTGCAGTCGTGGTTATTCTGGTGCTCAATGTTTTACTTTTTCTTCATGTTTTCATCTAATAAAGATGTATAATAAATCCACAATTATAAAGGGAAACAAGGCACGCTCAGAATGCCCTCTGGTTTGCAATACAGTATTTTACAACATTTTTTTAGCACTTATGGTTGCATACTGTCTGCTTTTAATGTAAATCTTATCTTCTGTTTTGGCTGTAGCAGAAAATTAAACAGTCAGTTTGATCTTGACCCAAGTGCTGGAGTTCAGATGTCATCTCTGGTAATGATTGGGTGAATTAATCTTTCCTTTTCTGCAATGTCACACCTTGAGTTTTCTCTTTCTTCATTGTTTTTTTTCAGATGGAACAAATAAAAAGAGCAAATAAACTCTTCAGTAATGATTGTATATTCCTAAGGACGACTCTGAGCATTCCAGTCTTCTCGGAGAAATCCACGCTGCTCAATGGACTCAGCTCTTTAGAGTCTCCAGAAAGCGAGGCCAGCGACGGCTGTACACCCAAATATGAGTGTCCCAGTGTGACGCAGGATGGTGAGGGTAGCTCATCTTCATCCACTTCTGCTGCTCAGAGTCCCCAGGAACCAGACAGCCGGGCCACTCAGCCTGAGGAGCTGTCAGCTAAAGACTACTTACACAGACTGGACTTGCAAATCAAACTCTCGAAACAGGCTGCTAGGAAACTGAAAGAGGACGATATCGGGTAAGATTTTTATCATAACAAAATGACCTACTGCATGACGTTCAGGAAGGCCGAATGAAGGAAAATATTACTGGTTGTGGCAGAATAGGAAATGGTTAAAAAAAACAGTACCCATGAAAGCATGCAGGAAAGGTTTTGTCCTTCAAATGGATCCAGTCTAGACCTGCCTCTCTGCTCGTCCTGTTCATTCTTCAGTCAGGGGTTGAATGGCTCAGCATCCCTTTCTCCTGTCAGGGCTTTGCGTTGCATGCACAGCTGCTACAGGATGAAAATGTAACAAACTTACCACCTCTGCAATAACATGAGCAAGTGAAAAAACCTGTGTGGCTTTTGAGCACAAGGAAGGCGTTTTATCCACCTTTTTAATCGTCGCCTGCCAGCCAGTCTCTTCCTATAGCACAATGCTGTATGTGCATGTGTTCTCACGACAAAGAGAATCTAGAGGTCCTGAGCTGTGCATCCCCAGCCTCTGTTTGCCTTGTTTCTGGAAGCCATTGAGTTGCTGTGTCTCGCCTGTGTGACATTGTAATTGAATGGAAGCGTGGGGTGTGGAAGGAGCAGGGTTGTTACTCTAAGATTCACCACCAGTTAAAGGGGAGGTGACTAGAAGCTCTGGAGAGACAGGTGATACCTAGGAGGTGCTTCACATCTGCTAGCTGGGTTTATTGGTGTCCATAATCCCTTTTGTGGTGCAGTCCCACCTTGTGTCCTATGGTGCCAGGATTGTCTGTGACCCTCACGAAGAATAAGAGGCTTTTTGATTATGATAACTGGATAACTGGTTGAGAACTTATAGTGGAAGGATCATAAATCTAAGCCCAACTGTCTTGTTATTATTTTCTTACACTTATATAGCGCTTTTCTGGACACTCCTCTCAAAGCGCTTTACAGGTAATAGGGACTCCCCTCCACCACCACCAATGTGCAGCCCCACCTGGATGATGCAACAGCCGCCAATGTGCACCAGTACACTCACTACGCTATCAGTGGGGAGAAGAGCAGAGTGATGAAGCCAATTCATAGATGGGGATTATTAGGAGGCCAAGATTAGTAAAGGCCGGGGGAAATTTGGCCAGGTTAACACCCTTACTCTTTTCTAGAAACACCCTGGCATTGTTAATGACCATAGAGAGTCAGGACCTCAGTTTTACTTCTAATCTGAAGGATGGCACCTTTGTTTTACAGTATGGTGTCCCTGTCACTATACTGGAGCATTAGGACCCACATAGACCGCAGAGTGAGCTCTCCCTACTGGCCCCACTAACACCTTTGCCAGCAGCAACTTTAGCTTTCCCAGGAGGTCTCCCATCCAGGTACTGGCCAGGCTCACACTGCTGGGCTCCAGTGGGCTGCCGGTTGTGAGGTACAGGGTGATATAGCTGCTGGCTATCTTATTGTAAACAACACAAAAATATTTTTTAATGCTCTGGGAATGGCAAAGTTCTTGCTGTCTTCAGCTGTCTTCAGATCCCTCACGGGATCAATAAAGTATCTATCTATCTTTTCTTAACTTGCCAGGGTTCTAAGTGGATCCAATAGCTCAACTGAGTGGCTCCAGAACTGAAGGAGACCCTCTAGCTACACAGCTATGTATCATTAGGCACAGAGTTTAACTGTTTCAACAGTGGTTTTATGTTAGGATTATCATTCCGCTCAGTGTTTGGCTAGGGTGAAAACTGTGGGTTAAAGTTTATGACCTGAGGATTGGAGTAATGGGTGGATTTGATGGACTAGAGCCATGCTGTTGCTGTGTTTGTGATCATGGTTAGAGATGGTTGAAGGTGAGGGGATCGGCCTGGTGTTGGGGTCTTGATTATGGTCTGGGCATGAAAAGTCTTAGACCATTTTTAAGGTTCATTACTCAGTCAGACTTAGTAAGTCACAGAGGCCTTATGATTCAGATGGTGAGAATTTATCAGTCTAGTGTCATGTGAGTGTGTTCCTGTCATAATAGAAAAATAGAAGACAGATAATAATAATTGCGTACAAGTATGTATTACACTTTCTGGACACTCCACTCAAAACGGTTTATAGGTAATGGGGACTCTTCACCACCACCAATGTGCAGCATCCACCTGAATGATGCGACGACAGCCATAGTGTGCCAGAACGCTCACCACACATCCGCTGTTAGTGGGGAGGAGAACAGACCAATGAAGCCAATTCATAGATGGGGATTATTAGGAGGCCATGATTGGTAAGGGCCAATTGAAAATTTTGCCAGGACGCCAGGGTGACATCATTACTCTTTTCGAGAAACGCCTTGGGATTTTTAATGATCGCAGAGAGTCAGGATCTTGGTTTAACGTCTCATTCGAAGGACAGCACCTTTTTAAAGTATAGTGTCCCCGTCACTATACTAGGGCATTAGGACCCACATGGACCGCAGGGTGAGCACCCCCCTAGTGGCCACACTAAAACCTCTTCCAGCAGCAACCTTAGTTTTTCCCCAGGAGGTATCCCATCCAGGTACTGAGCTTCAGTGGGTTGCCAGATGTGAGCTGTAGGGTGATATGGCTGCATATCATGGCAAATACAAACAGTATTAGAATCCTTAAACTAGGCTTCTCTTGTTCTTTGCTCTGGTGTTTTAGGCACTGCTTTACACAAAGGGTTGTGGTAGTGTCGAGTCGCCCACCCAGCCACGTTGTTAAAGTTGATATTCTGGCTTCTTCTAGGTAATGGATAAGATGCTTGGATCAACTATCTAATAACTACCAAATGATCACAAGCTAGAAGTTTGTACTTAAGTCAGTTCATGTTTTCAACAATAGTCTCTGATAATTGACTATGGCTGTGACTATGACTATATGACTATGACGATAGGCTGAGGCAGGAGACTAGGGTATTTTTTTTGTAAAATGTAATTAGTGCTTGTGCGCTTGGTTTCAAGCTGGAAGTTGCCTGCACCTTGTCGGGGGTGTTAAGGGACTGTCAGTGATTTCCCCCACTCTCTTCCTGCTTCCCATAGTGTGGCTATGCTTGTAACTGCCAAGACGCTCTGCCAGCCATTCCGCAAGCCCCGAGATTTTTCAGAAGGCTGCGCCCCAGGAGACTTTCAGTTTCTCTCTGTTGCTGTCAGGACTGGAGAAGGGCTCTGACAAATCCGTACCAAAAACCGCCAGCCGAATTGTATTAGGGATGAGAAAGTAGAAGCAGGTTCATCGATCATTGCAGCTCTCTCCGCAATAAAGTCTCTGGTTTTGTCTCCTTTCGTAGAAAAAATACTTATAGAATGTTTTTTCAGTTCAATGTCTACTTTTTTTGTCATGATGTGCAGAGAAGGTTTGTAGATTTGTACACAAGCTGGTCTTTTTATGTTACAGGGGTTAATGGAAAATATTTGTGTTTTTGCAGCGTTAAGTTAATTTGGAAGGCTAAGCCCCTCAGAAGGGTGAAATGTAAGGAAGGGTAAAGTGACTGGTATGAACGAAAGAGTTTTCCTGGATATAAATAAAAGGCAAACACAATGTTGAGTTTTTTTTTCTTTTAAAATTACATTTTAAATACTAAATCTTGTAACAGCCCAACAGAAATATGGGAGATTGATCACCCATGGTACTTGCTGCATGGAGCGGGTCGCTCAGTTGTAGAAATGAATTTAAAAATGTAAAGTTGCAAAAAAAGAGGATTAATTCAACCCATTGAGCCCATCTGGTAGTTAGTAGCTAATTGATGGAAAGATTTCATCAATGCGTCTTTGGGGACAAAAGCCAGAGTGTTGGCTTCAACAACATGTCTGATAGCTTGTTCCATACACCCACAACCCTTCGGGTAAAGACCTGTTTCTTGTTCTCAGTTTTAAACCTCTAAGCACTAATGGATGGTACAGTGGAAGTACTTTACTCTATTAAGAAACTCTGCTTCCCTGGAGTGGTGAGAGAGAATTCTAGATATTGTCTGCTCTGTGGTTCATTTTCGAATAGTGAACACTGAACAGTACATTGAAATGAATATGTTGTGCAGTAGCGTGGACTGGTGGTGAGGGTGATTATTATTTTTTCTTATTATTCTTTATCAATGTAATACTTACTGTGCAATTTTTAGTGATTTGAAAACTGTGTAAAAGTTGTCTTATCAAGTTTCACGCTGTGAAGCTGTGCATTTCTATTCCCTGTGTAACAGACTGTCAGCAGAGTGCATCATAACTGCAAATTTTCATGACACGGTGGCACTGCTGCCTCGCTGTTTATATTATTTTTTAAAAGATCCATGCAAGGCAGCCTTCCTTCCATAGCTGATACTGGTATGACACGATGTTGCCCGGAGCAACAGTTTCCACGAAGCTGTCACATGACAAGGAAGAAGATGTTGGTTAACTGATGACTCTGTTTGAATTCTGAACTGCTGCTCTGATGAAAATCTGACCACTCAGAAGCACAAAAGGAATATCTCCTGTATTCTTAAGAAGAGAATTAGAAAGAAATACGTACAGGTTTTTTTTTTTAAATCAAATCTGATAGCAGGTCCACATTTTCTGTGAAAGGTTCTGTTGTGTGGGTTTCATATATTAAATAATATTGAAACATAACAATAAAATAAACTTTTTAAAATTTTAAATTTGTTTTGAAATTGCCATCTTGATTTGTTGTTTCTGTTGTCCATACGGCTGTACAGTTGTCCCTATGGTTTTTATGGATGACATGCTGGCATGTTTTGTCACAGTGGCGTTTGAATATTGCACTGGCATGGCACTGAAATATGTTTCATGGCAGTGCTCTAATATTTTGTTCAAATGTTTGATCCAAGCAGCAGTGGAAGTTAATGTGCTGTTTTAATGGGAGGAAAAGCCGGGCCATGCTGTGAATCATTGACTCAGCTCAAGAAGCCTTCCCTCTCTGTTGTCATTGCTGAATGCTTTTGGCTTTTACAGCATTTCTATCAGTATGTTCTGTCATTTGAGAAGAGGAAATGCCTTATATTTGAAAACAGACACTCTGAAATGGCAAAAAGGTTTCCTAGTTTATTGGCGTTTGCTCCTATGTCGGAGATCATAGAACTGTGTAATAAAGGTAGCAGGCAGGTCTCACTGTGCCAGCAGGAAGCTATATGCGAGAACAGAATAGGAGATATGAAGAGAGAGACACTCGTGCTCCACACGAAGAGTTAAGGGGCTAAGGAACAATTCACACGGCATTGTTGTTTAAATCAAAATCTTGCAGTCTTTCAAGACACGGCTGGATGAATTCCTGGCATCAGTTAGGTACTAACTACTGAGTTAGCTTGTTAGGCTAAATGGCCTTCTCTTGTTTGTAAATGTTCTTTATTGTAGTCTGAGCCTAGTTTTGAAAGTTGAGTGGAATTTATAGAAATTAATTACCCCAATTGTAATCACAAATTTTACTGGGTGTATATCTTTTTATCTGTTTTAGTAAGCAAAATTAATCCATGGTTTCCCATACTCTACAGAGAAGTCTAAATGATTTTGTTATAAAAATATGCTTTTCAGATTTATTATTGTCTCTCTCTTACAATGACCACGGACAGCAGCAGGCCTTTTGAATTAATTGGCTGTCTTTCAGGCTGAACAGGTTACTGGTGAATAAATAATAAAGCTTATTCACAAATTAAAGTGGAGCTCTATCCTGTTTCATAGAGGGAGGCTTATCTGCTTCTGGAGCTTTCAGGAGGATGTTCTAGGTCAGGTAGTAGCCGGATGTGCTATTTATAACTGAAGGACGTACGAAGGTAGACAGGTTTTCGGTAGAGTGTCCGCAAAAACCCCAAAGCATGACCTTTTTTTTAGTTTTAGTTTGATTAATGGGACACAGAAATAAAACATTTTTAAGATTCTTTGATTTAAGATGTCTGAAAAGGAATGATGCCATAAGCAAGTGCCAGGGATTTATGAAATGGGAAAATTAACCTTTCAGTTAAGACTCCAGAAGGAGATTTTTGAGAGAGATTGGGAGAGACGGATTATTTACATTACCTATTGATAAATGATTGTATGTTTTTGGAAGCTTGTTCTTTTTTTCCTTCACCTTTTTACCCTCTGTGAAAATGCAAAAGAATGATAAATGACAGACTTTATACTCATTTATATTTGGAATACTTGAGGTTTTGAGATGACTGGCAACCTTTTTCTTTATTTCTGGTTACCTATGTTTGTTCTTCAAAAAAAATTAAATTAAAAACCTTAGTTACCAAAAAAAAGAGTGTAAAGGCAGCAGTACTGTTTTGGGAGCTGGCGATAACACGAGTCACAGTGAGTCAACTTTCTGTTCTTGTGGAATTACCTCGTGTGGCCCGTGTTCTGTGTACTGTAGAGAGTGGGGATAGCTGGGCGCAGTGGCAGGAGGTGTCACATAAGCGTGACTGCAGTAGAAGTGTCAAACTTTGCAAAGGGAGGTGGAGGGAGAGAGAATAAAAGAGCGATCAGACAAATATTTTGGAGATGCTGTCCAGATAAAAAGCGGCATAATTAGTAGAGTCAGCTGGACTCACGCTCTGTACTCCAAGATAAGTTTTATTTAGCGATTCTCAAAGTTTTGGCACCAACACATGAGGCTCAACAAGGCGCAGCAAAGCTCTCACACTTCCAAAACACATACCAGGTCTCCGGGTGTGAAAGGTACCTCTTACTCACATTCACAGTGCAACTCGTGCTTGATGTTGTTACGTGAAAATAAAGATTTCTAGACAAAAGAGGGAAAAAAGACACATTGTAAGATGGCGCTTGTTTTGCCATTTTTGTTCTCCTTGGGTTTTTGGGAGGTGGGGTTTTCCAAAAGGCCTACAGATGATGTACCTGTTGCTCGAGAGCTTGTAGTCCGGTAGGTTTGCGAGGTATCTTTAAACCCCTAGAGGTTATCAGTAAAAAAATAAGAGACTGCAACAGAAACAAAAACCAACAGTTTTTGGGAACATGCACCAGTGCACTGCTAGTGTGTGTCCCAGGCGTGTGATGTGTGTAGGCCGAGTGTAGTTTCAGTGCTATGCAGTGCCATCCCCCAGAATTCCACTACACCTTGACCAGACCTCCAGCCCCAGATGGGACTAGCAGCACTGTCCAGCTTCCAAGGGGTGATGTCACCTTCTGCAGCAGGCTCAGTGCCAAATGAGCCCTGTTTGAAGAGCAGCAGGCCATCAGCCCTGTGCGGAGGAGGAATCTGTTCTCTCAGTGCAGAATACCTCACCTCCCATCAAAACAAGCCATTTCATTTCAATTCCATGTGAGAGCGTCAAAAGTAATATCTCTGTCAGTCTACGCCAGTACAGTGGGTATTGGATTGTATCCATTTACTTGTTTGCTAATTAGCCAGATTGTAGTATGTGGCTTTTGTGTTAAACATCCGTGGATGAAAACAATACTTTATTTCTTCTTTTGTGCTTGCAGACACAAGGGGGAAGAGGCGCCACATGCAGCATCTTCATACCAGAGTATTGATTAAATCAATTGACAGCTGATGTAGGAGACCCAGGATTTGAAGATGAAAGTGTTTCTTTGTTTACCTGGACAGCCAATGGCGAAATCTGGAGCAGTGACAGCTGAAATATTCGGCACGTTTGTCATGTGTTTTTCTAATTTGCATTGACCAAATTATGGAACAGGACTTTCTGTCCATGGATTTGCACTGAGCTGTTCTGCTTTGCCTTTTTTAAAATCTTATTTTTAATCCAAGGTCCTTACTTTTATTGGCGAGAGTGTGCGTTGTTGTTTCAGGCACCCACGGCTTGTTTCCGCTGAGAGCTTTCACTACATGTGCCACAAAACAGGTGTCTAATAACCTCTACTGTACAGAGTACCTCTTGTGAACTCTCTACTATTATATTACAGATTAGCATGTTAGAAAACTGATATTAGCACTGTACCCATGCAGTATCTATACAATATATCCCTTTACTATATTAACTATTCTTTCTTTTCTGAATATGTAGCATTCCTATCAATATATTCCTTCCTTCTTCAGCCATGTAACACTGATTTTGAATAAGCTGTGGGTGCATGGACACCTTAATTTCTCATTTGCCTATTTAAAGTCATGCTTTGAGAGGGTTAATTCTATTTTGAAGTATGCATGTGTTGGTTTGTGTGTGGTGCGTAAAGTTATAAACCTTCTTGGCTTGGGTTCGGTGTTATTGTGCTTTGATTGTTACTTATGGTTTTGAATATCAATAAACTTGACTGTTCTGAAATCCTTTCAACAAACTTGTTTCTGGAATTTTTTGTTCCCCCTTCCTTTGTTTTTTTTGATTGGGGTTCCCTCATACATCAAAGACACCAACCACGTGCTCCAACTTTTCAATGATTTCCAATTTCAGGGTACTGAATGCCACATTTTTACCATGGACATCACCTCTCTGTACACCGTCATTCCCCATAATGACGGCCTTACAGCCCTCAAGCACACGCTGGACAAACACACAGTGCTTGATCCACCC